GAATTGTGACTACTAAATGAGTGAGACTCAAATATCAGAAGTTCAGAACAAGTTTTAGTAGTTTTTATTTTATTTTTACTTCATTTACCGTAATTTTCGGACTATAAGCCGCGCCTTTTTCCCTATTTTTCGACGCTGCGGTTTATATAACGGTGCGGCTAATCTATGGATTTTACAGCTAACGGCCCAACACCTTTAACTCTATGGGCTCTATGGCCGGTCCGCGGACCCCCACCTTTAAGGGCGGCGTTCCAGCAGGAAAAAGCTGAGTCCCGAAAAGAGTGAGACAGGTAGCGCGCAAAAGTAAAAGTGGAACCGAGAGTGGTATGCCGCTGCTGCGGCTTATATTCAGGTGCGCCTTATAGTCCGAAAATTACGGTACTTCTTTTTCATTTAGGATCCCTATGAAAGCTTCAGGTGAGAAATATCAATACTGGCACTGGATTCGTTGAATTTATGGTTTATCAAACAAGACAAATATGTGCAAGCTAGTGCATCCCTCCTCCTCGCTAGGAGAGAACTTTGCTGAGAGAGGAGGCATTGGAATCAGACCTACAGTTAGCAACTGTAACGATTCAGCCAGGAACATAACGTTTACTGACCCGGCAAATAGTTGGAGCAGTCTGGGATCAGACCCACCGCGCTAGCTCTAGCTCTGGCTAAAGCGCTGGCTATCTATCTCCTCATTTTACTCCCATCAGAAAAGGAAAATGATTCCTTGACGTTTTTTTAAACTGTTGGTCAGACAAAACTAGTCCTTTTTAAGACTTCATCTTGTGTTCTGGGAGTGAATATGAGCATATCTCAATTTTTCCTAACAAAATATGTCAAATGTAGTCGGAAATTGTTTGTACTGTTGGTTTCTACGGATTACTGACTAGAAGCGACTTAAACTACTACAATCCAAAATATATAATATCTCTCGTTGGGCCTTTTTCTGATTGTCTGTTATGTTTCAAGCCTGAAAATATTTGCCTGTTGCAGGAGCCTGTGCTGTTCTCTGGCACACTGAAGATGAACCTGGATCCCTTTGAGAAGTACAGTGATGAAGAGCTGTGGGCGGTTCTGGAACATTCTCACCTCCATAAGTTTGTGAGCAACCAGCCGGCCAAACTGGAGCTGGAGTGCTCCGAGGGAGGAGAGAACCTCAGGTTTGTACAGAGGGAGAGATACAGCAGCTTTTAATGCATGGATGTTAGCAGACAAACTGATTGTTCTCTGTAGCGCTGTGTTTCACATGTTGTGTGCTCTTTATTTATGTTCAGTGTGGGCCAGAGGCAGCTGGTGTGTTTGGCTCGGGCTCTCCTGAGGAAGACGAGGATCCTCGTCCTGGATGAAGCTACAGCTGCTATCGACCTGGAGACAGATGACCTCATCCAGTCCACCATCAGGACTCAGTTTGAGGACTGCACCGTCTTCACCATCGCTCACAGGCTCAACACAATCATGGATTACACAAGGTTCAACATATATAAATACTTTACAATTTAAACTTTAAAGTAAACCTTGAAATCTAATGCATCCATCAACAGCAATCAGTTTAACTTAGTAAACACAGAACAATGATACAAATCAGATTTCAAAGCTCCTTAGTGATCCTAAAGTATTCTGGGTTGTGAAGGGCACACAAACATGAGTGTATCTCACCGAAGCTCACTGCGTGTATTCTTCAGGTCAAAGAAACACGCAGGGGGCACTTTTTAAAATGGCAAAGCATTTTTCTGTATCTTAAAACCTGCATATTTGACACACTGCAACATTTATTGGCATGTTACAGCTAACCGTAGATCAGTGGAATAATGTGAAAACATTGGCAGTAATGACACATGTAAATAATATGATAAACCAAGCAAACTTAAAATATTTATATTCTGTGTTGGTTCGCTTTTAGAAAATATAGAGAAGCGAATGCTTACTGTCATTAAGAATCCTTTATTATTTTACTTCATCCTGTCTTATCTCAGTGTGAGGAAATCTCATCCAGTAGAAACCAACAGTACAAAACAACTTCCTCACCTGGCAAACAAACAATGAATCACAACAAAAATGGAGACAGATGAGTTAGAGATGTTGGTAACATAACAACAACAAAATCACTAAACAATCACGAAAATGATGTTAATAGACAACCTTTCTCTGCATAATAACAAGCCATTAATTATGTAATGTGTATATGTACTGTATATATATTTGGGCGATCAAATAATGCTTAATAGGTCATTTCAAATGTTCATCCATTTGCCACATTGTGTATAAATGTATATAATTTGGATTGTATACTATGTGAACCTTGTACTGCCTGCTTTGCTAATATCGTGGTCATGCCAATAATCCAAACTGTGAAAAGTATCCATGTTTTGTAAATGACTCATGCTCTCCTCTTTCTCCTTGCAGAGTGCTGGTGTTGGACAAGGGACGGATAGCAGAGTTTGACACTCCGACAAACCTCCTATCACAGAAAGGAATCTTTTATGGCATGGCTAAAGACGCAGGCCTGACGCAGTAGAACTGCCTTTCGTCCCAATTTTTACAAACCAGGGTTGAGGATGAGCTCAGTTCAGTGTGACTTTGCATTTCAAACCTGGCAGTGGAGCTGAAGAGTACCTTTTATTGTGAATTTGGTATTTCTTTTCAGGGCACTCACTGCTGGTTTTGAATGAAGCCTCCTCTGCAGACTTGGATCAATTAGCCATTGCAAACAGTTGTAGTGTTTTCTAAACCCGTATCAGCAAAATGTACATATTCTGTGATTGTCTTAAGTTTCTTGCACTGAATGTGTTGTTCTTTGTGGCAAAGAAATGTCCATTTGGCATCTCATAAGGATAAACAAGCCATATGTGCAAGTACTAGTTGATCCAAGCCTGCTGTTTAGTGCCTTCTGCTAGTGGGATAAAGAAAGCCAGTGAATGTATACTTTTCTAATCGGCTGACTGCTGCAAAACAAACAGCAACAGAAAAAGGAGGAACTTTTTAATTTTTTTTTTTTTTTTCTACAGATAAAAATATTGTGCCACTGTTACTTTCCTCAAAAGAAAAACAACACTCCTTTTGTGATAAACCCACTTGTTTTTGTACTGTACCATTATTTAAGCTACTTTTTAAAGAATTGTTTAATCTTAGGGAAGTTTGCTCAGTTTAATATGTGATTCTTTTGTGAACCAAATCTATTGAAACTTGAACTCTGTACTACCAAAATATGAAAGATGATAAAGCCTTTATTAAAAAAAATGGAAGAACAATGTTTGTGTGCCGTCTTGGTATGATACTGAATCTCAGGGTCACCAAACATATTGCACATTAAAAGTGGAATGCACATAACCAAAGAGTAGTGGTGACTCCAAAAACTTGCAGAGACTGACAATTATAATACAATAAGGGATGGGAATGTGATTACATCAACAGAGAGTTGGCCATCTTTGGAGGATAACATCGACTGCAACCTATTCACTGATCCATGGATGTACAAAGAGAAATGGATACAGTATACCTCAGTGGCGCATGAAACCAAAATGGTAGTGATGTGATGTTCACGAACAATCCGATTCTTTTGAACGGCTCTTTGGTACGAATGAAGGGAACCGAGTCCTACTTGGTGAGAGCCGCTCTTTTTATCGTTGGTTCACTGCCTGCCATAAATCCACTCGCCTTTACAGGAACTTGCTTTCCTGAATGCAAATGTGCCATAGATGATGGCATAACGCATGCTGCTTGAGTAGTAGTTTGGCTGGCTGAGAGATGTAGCAAGTTATAAATTTTTCTA